CCCCCCCTCATATCAGCCCCCGCCGTATCACACCCCAAAACCCGTATCAGCCCGCAAAACCTGTATCACACCCTTTTGGACATTTTTCGTTTTTCGATATTTCAAAAAAATAGATCATAAGATAGTAGCTTTTATTAGTAAGTATGTAATAAACAGAATAAAACACGCCCTTTCCATATCACACCCAGTATCAACCCTCGACCTTCGGCCCTCGTACTGATATTGCAGTTCCGGGTTGATACTGGGTGTGATATGGAAAAAGGCATGTATTACTCTCTATTTAACGTACTCGCAACTAAAATATAATAACAAAAGCTGTCAATGCGGCGTGTATAGCTAATTTGTTTCTGTTGGTATCCACACCTCAGCCTAAGCAGGAGCAACCCTCCTTCTCTATTCAACAGCACATTCTCAGATGCCATGCATCATGAATGTTAAATTTCAAATTTCGTTAAGACCAGTATTTAAATGTTAATGGTTATATATTAGACATCTCTATCATATCAATGTTTTGACCTCTAAGAATAATTTCAAATTGGTGGATCCGAGGTGTGTCCTGAACACTAAGCCCCAGGGACCAGCAGAGCCCCAGAACATTTTAGCAGCATAGTTTGATTTTTCTCTTCTCTTGCATATCAGTGTATAAGGTGGGGATTCCATGTTATGACCCCAGCCACTCAGTTCAAAAGGGCAGTGTCAGGCTTCCGGGCAAATCATGGCAGCATGGTTGTGTTAGTCTCTTCATGCCTAGTAATTGTACAAGTGTTTAAAGGGAGAGGATCTCAACAATGTCCATGTTATGGCGCAGTGTCGAAGTACGGAGGGAAGAGGCCGGACGCCGAGGCTTATCTTAGTAGCATATATCCCGTTAATTGTTCTCTTCATATTATACAAAAATGTTGTCAGCGTGGTACACATCCGTTTCAAATATGTGAACCATGTACCGTTTTCCCGTGATGGAGCGAACCAACAGTGCCAATCCTGATATAAGGGATGTATTCACCCATGCATTCCCTCCACCTGTGTTTGTGGTTGTTATATAGTTGAATCTCAATCGCCAGAAGCACAGACGTACATTCATATTTTCTGTATTGTTACTCTATTGTCGTATCACCTTCAATTTTACAACGTTACAACGTTGAGTCTTCTTGGTTAAAAAAGGCTCAAGAGCAACTGTGATGAAGAAACTTGTCACAACAATTGCATAAAATTTTCTTTTTTTCCAAAGTGTCCCTCCCCAGAGATATTACAATTCAAAGTTTTGGCCCCTTGACTCAATAATGTTTCAGACCAAACTTAGTAAAAGAAGTAAGCCGTTCTGGCAGGTGAGCTTATACAAAATCCGCCAGGCTGTGGGGAAATGGTCCGCTTCTATGATTGTGCAGCAAGAGTAATACATTGGCCCCCGTCCTGTAGAACCAGGGTTGTTCGTCCTAGTCCGAGACGGCTTTGGTGATATCTTGTTGTATCATTACAGTTATTTCCTTTCTGTGGACGACGATAACGCTAGACATACATAACGTATCGAAATGATGCTATACTTGTATTCGTACCGTATTGCAAGTTCAATACAGATGCTTACAAAGACTTCGACCTATGTTTTATAGTAAAATTAAAATACGATGTGGCGTCATGTTTACTTATGGTTTATCAAATATGCAGTTTTGCATTAAAAAAGGTTTTTGCAAGTACTCGTCCAGTTTTTCTTCTATTTAGCTGTTCGATATATTGTAAAGCACAGCATTAAAAGTGACATATTGGCTTAAAAGAAAAGAAATATAAACTCACAAACAAATTTTAAGCAAAATTCAAAGTTTATAACAAACGCAGAAATAACAAATGACATTAATTTTATCACAAAAAAATGTTCCTTAAACTGCTTTGAATTTCCATTTTTCTATTCAATAGTATTCAGTCTGTCACATCACTTCCAAGTAGAATAATTGATAGTTTTAGCTATACAATGCTCTTATTAAGAAGTCAATCATAATTAATTAGTAATAGGAAAGCAATGACCTAATGATATATTAAACAGAGAAATTGCTTCAATTTTATTTTTATTTTTATACAAGTCATTTATGCACCTACGTTCATACCCTGCTTCTGTTACACGAAGTAGTTTTAAAAAGTATAGAATCATCTAGTATCAATATATATCATTGGTAGGAGTGATAAAAAAGTAAGGAATACAACAACAACAAAATAAAAAAATAAAAAAATGAGGCAATTCAGCTAGAAGATTTTGAAAATGTAGTGTATGTGTAAGATTGTACTGCCAGTGTTCAATGTGTAAATCTTTCATCCCCTCGAGTTTCAGACAAAAAGTCTCTAACGGCCTCTACCGTTCACATATCATCCACTCGAGAAGAATCCAGATTCAATCACAGAACAATTAAGCATTCAAAGTTAGCTCATTTATGTTTTACTTTATTGCAGCCATCAGTAAAAACAGCACCCAAAGCTGAATCCTTTAGGTGTATAGTATAAACATCAATGTATATATAAAAATCAGTTGAATCACAAAATGGTTTAAGGACAGTATTTTATCAGTTATGACTATATATAAAACCAAATGCATAAATTGTTTTGATTAATTAAACAAGTCTTCTTATGTTATTTATCTATTTGAGAACATTATCAAGTATAGATTTATTTTCAGTATTGTTTAACATAGTGCTTCCATCAAGAAATATTTTAGAATCGAGATTAACCGGACACACTTCAAATTCATAAATCTCATTTATTAAAGTCTGTCTCTCATCAATATACATTGGACACTGTAAAAGATAATGGATAGCATTTCCATAATCATCACTACACAGACAAGGTGGAGACTCTTGCAAGTGATCTTTGAACATATCATAGTTCAGGTTACTCGCCTCATTTCTCAGTTGACATAAGATTATGTTACCCTTTCTGCTTTCATAATTTTTTAAATACATCAGAGATAGAAGCTTTTAGCATAGGGTTCTGTACGACATAGTGGTGGGTTAAACATTCTTACATTTCTTAGAGTATACCTATAATTTTCTGGGTTATGAATAAGAGGATCATTTATGTCATGGAGGTATGTGGGTGATACCTTGTTAGTTATTTTGTACATCTGAATTAGCTTATGGTTCATCCTTCGATCAGATAGAGATTCCCAGCCTAATTCTTTATATAGAGTTTGGTGTGATGTACCTTTCCTTAGGCCTGTGATAATCCTTACAGCTTCTAGTTGTACAGATTTTAATAAATTTTTAAGATTGTCAGAGCAGTTGTCCAAGACAATATCTGTATATTCAAGCATTGGACGGATAAATGTTGTATATATTTTGCATAGTGATTTCCTATCAATCTTATATTTCAGATACCTAAGCATGTTTATTCTTTTACAAGCCTTTTCATATATTAATTGAACATGGGTAGACCAAGTGCCATCTTCAGAAAAAGTTAATCCAACATGTTTGTGATCATGGGCATTATCTCCACAAGATTTAGAGAAATTAATTAGAGGATGGATAGGATATTTGTTTCTAGAAAAAAATAGTGGTTTGGTTTTAGAGGGGTTAAATTTAATGTCCCATGTACATGCCCAGTTGTTAATTCTATCTAGGTCTTGGTTAGGATAATCTGCTGCTAGTTGTTGGTTTTCGTCTACGATGACATAAAATGATGTATCGTCTGCAAACAGCTTAATGTCACTCTGGACTATATCAGTGATGTCATTAATGTATAATAGAAATAAAAAGGACCGAAAACTGATCCCTGAGGAACACCGGCATTAACAACCCTAAAAGTAGAAAAAAGACCTTCAGTTAGAACTCTCTGTTTTCTATCTTAAGATAATTCTCAAACCAGTTAAAAACACTGCCTGATATACCATACGATTTAAGTTTATGTAGTAACCCTTTGTGCCAAACTCTATCATAAGCCTTGCTGATGTTGCAAAATACAAACCTTAATTCTTTCCCATTATTCAGGTTGCTAATTATGATGTGGTTTATAGAGAGAAGTTGGTTTACTGTTGAATCACCTGATTTAAAGTCTGATTGGTCCTTGGAAAGTATATTATTAGTTGTTAAATAGTTATATATATATTTGAATATATATTTTTATATTTGAATTTTTCAAGATTTTACTAAAACATGATGTTACAGATATTGGTCGATAATTGGAACAATTTTTTTTTTAAACCATTCCCTTTGTATACAACACTAACATTAGCCATCTTCCATGGCCCATGTATGCGCCCGTTATATATAGTTTTGTTAAATAAAATTGTAAGTGGGAGTATTAAGGAAGTTTTTTTTTATGACTTTAGGTAACATGCCATCAGGTCCTGCTGGTTTATTTTCATTTAATACAGTAATTTGATCATCAACATCTTGTTCAGAGACTATTATGTTTTCTAATTTTGATAGAGTGGATATATCTAATACTGGAGATTCAGCAAGTGTATCTGATGTTATGGCTATAGAAGTAAAATATTCATTAAGGGCTTTAGCTTTATCAGTTGGATGTTGAATCAGTGTATTATTAACATTCAATGGTGGAATTGGTTCAGTTTTATTGTTAAAATTAGTTATGGATTTAGCAATTTTCCTCCATTTATTAGGGGGCAATGATTTATCAAGATAATTATGTTTTGAGTCTCTTACCAGAAACATCATTCCTTATTTATTTATATTTATTCCAATGCTCTATTTTGTCAGTATGTCTGGCTTTTTTATGTATCCTATTTATTTGCCTTATCTTTAGCCTAATATTGATATTCCGTGGCTTGTCATCAGGTTGGATTGTAATAGTTTCAGCAGGTCAGTTATAGATTTAGTTAAAAACATACTAAATTCCTGGGTATCCATATCAGCAGCAATCAAGTTCCAGTAAATAACATTTAGTTCGTCATTCATAATATTATAGTCAGTATTGTTATACATCCATACAGTCTTTGTATATGCTTTATGTTTATGATATTAGAATCAGGTCTATATATACATCCAAGCAGAAATTTACGGTTTTGAATTAAAACTTCTATCCACATAATTTCTATATGTTCATTTTCAAGATCATGTCTACGTTTAGTAAGAATATTGTTTTTATGTTAGATAATATAACCACCAGCATGTCCTGTTGTCCTATCTTTCCTATGGATTTCATCTGAAAATGACTCTAATTTAATATCAGAATTTGGGATTAGAGGGTTAAGGTGTGATTCAGTTATACATACTATGTCACTACCATGTAGCTGCAAATAAATAAAGTTTATATATGAAAGTACCAAAAATGTATAACTGAAAAAAACCATCTGCTTATAAGCTCATACAATTATTGTGTACAACTTATCAAAAGGAATTTACTAGTTTATGTATATACATATTTGAAGCAAACCAATTAAGAAAGACCATGATGAAATGATAAACTTGTGTAACTATCGTGTATGTTTTGACCATTCTCGATTGTAGTATTGCAGTGTCTGATACTGTATATAAATGTTATTTGTACACTGATACGCTGTAAAGCTTAAAATTAATGAAGAATTGGAAGAAAAGGTGGTTAATTTGAGGATATATCGTCCGTGAATTCAATTTGTTCAACTACAGAAATTGGTTTACTCCCGAGAATAATATTGAAATCGTCATAGAGTTAACAAAGTTATCAATAATGCATGCACATTTATATTTGGATTTTGAAAATTTAATACCATTTTCGTCAGCCCGGATTTTAAGTCGATTCATCACTGCTGCGATGTCTTCCAGGTGTACTCACATGGTTTTAACGGTAGCATATACAAAGTCATGCAGCCTAACGAAAGTCAAAACTGTTTGATTAATGATAAATATTCAATATAAAACATCTTCGTGTTCCTGAATGTATTCATAAATACAGCCTAACGCTAACTCATGATGCAATGTAATTATACATTTGATTAGAGGAAAGGTTCGCACATATACATACGCACGTTACCTGTTGTCATGTGATATAAATATAAATAGCATTAATACTACGATTTTAGTTAGGTGTAGGTTTATCCCTATTGCCGTGTTGAATTGGAAACCATTCCAGTGCCCAAGTGAAACCACCATTCTTTACATATGCGGATATGCTTCTACATGATTAAAAATAATGTCAATTTTAATAAGATTTTAACGTAATAACTTTTTTTGTTCAGATGTTGTTCCTCCACGTCGGACAATAAACATAGTACCGTCCTGAAAGAAGAAAGAAGATAACGATTAATGGGGGAACGGTGAGCTCGTTTCAAATTTTGTAAATATTTTTGAAGTTCAATATCTTTGTTATTGCGTGCCCTTTTGAATACCCTTCATCTCCGAGAAAGGGGTTAAATATTGTTGAAGAATAAACAACAATGTATAATGCTCAACAGACATGTTTTACAACATCCATTCATTCTTATGTGTAACGACTTTAAATATACATAATTTAAAATTGTAAACAACAGTTTTAGATAAATTATGTTTATAATAGAACGCCATGATATATATATATGATCAAAGGCTTCAACTAAATAATTAGTGCGTACCTTGATCAGTCCGGGAATGGCGATCAGAACATCTTTATGAATAATTAAGTTACTTCCTCGTTCTTTCTTAACAGCAAGTTGAAACACTACTCCCCCGATGAAGTAAACAACTATGATACTGACGAATCTGTTAGGAGGAAAATATATATATGTATTTTTCTTGGCTTTTATTTAGAAATAACATCTGTCTGTTCACTATGTACACCTGCATCGTAACATATACTAGTTGACAAATATATACGTACTGAACTTTATGTTGACGAAATGAATCTCTAGTTAATACTTTTTTCCATGACGTTAATTATGCGTTCTAAAGTTTCTGCCGGTGTATGCTAACAAGCACCTTTCAAGTTTTCTATAAAAAAATCTTTCTGTTCATTGGTAGATAAACCCGATAATAGAACGTGAGAGTTTCCGTTGATATTGTTTTATTCAATATGCAAGGAAACATGCGGCAATAACCTGTCTCCTTTCATAAATTTGATTCATCAAAGTTCATATCTCTTGCATTCAATACTCCCAATTGACTTTACCAGATTTGTAATGTGAAAATAAGATGTGAAATACAAATTTAAGTAATACATTTACATGTTAAACAACAACATTAAAAATCAACATCATTCTTCTTATAACCACTGTTTCAGCTTCAGAAGATCAACGTTGTAAATAAAACAGACTTTTATTGTGGGTATGTTTAATTGTCGCATTTTCCCCATATTCAAATTGGCTCGCATGGATTCTGGATTTGGTACTGCTGTTGTACGAACAATGTTTCAAAGTGTCCAAAACACAATCGTTCACTTACACGTAATATATACATATTGGAAACTAATCTGTTCATTATGTTGATTACAAGGGTGTATAATGTACTTACGCTATACAAAGTATGGAGCCGACGGAGAGCGATGATTTACTGGAGGTACCCATGGGATAGCAAGCAATTGTAGACGTGAGGTCAAAGTACTGTAAAACGATATAATAACGATTATAATTACGCATATAATTCTATCGTCTCTTTCGAATAGGCAGTATCCGTTAGATAAATGCAACTTACACAAATGCCAGATATTTTGAGAAGTGTTGTTTATTTGCTTTAAACGAAATGAAGCAGGTTGGGAATAACCGCAAAAAATCTTAAAATTCAATAGGAATGGAATATGTAGTTTTTTCCTTTGTGAATTTTGTACATTCCGGCTGGCCAAGTATATTGTTTCAAATTGATGTATCATATCCGTCAATTTCGAAAAATATCAATAGTAAAATAATACCAGTTTAAACAGGACTGCACAACCATTGACAAAGTTCAAACGTACAAAACATTTTTTATTCGAAACACCTCTTGATATGCATATATCTTTGTTTTTGTTGCCTGTTTCTGGGTATGTTATAATTCTGACGGTCATACGAGAGTTCAGATAAAACAGAAATTATTCTTCGATATATATTATAACACAACAAATAAAAGGAGGTATGTTCTACTTCTTTATCATTATGTTAAAGAAGCATATTTAAAAACCTGTCATAATTAGCGCCCTTTTGACAAGGAATATGCGTGCGATATTCACAAATACAAACAAACGTGTTATAAACATCGCGAAAACAGTACTGCCTTAACAATAATCGTAATAAAAAGTTAAAACGTTAACATTCGAGTACAAATTTGGTACTCACGCCGAAAAGGCGTAACGCTGACATTAGCTATCATAATCTCTCTCTAACGCTGTTATACAATAATACTTTACTCACATACATGCCGCTGCCACTAGGATTCTCTCCTGTGGCTGAGAAAAGGGCGCTCTGTGTGGAATCACACGTGAGAGAGATGAAGGACTGTCTGTAACAAAACAATAACGATGTGTATTAATAATATTTCGACAAAAATCTGCATGTCAACCGGGTAAAATATTAGCCGCTTCCTACCGACTCGGCTAGGGAGATTTTCTCTTTAGCGCATTCGGTAGAGCGTAAGACTGGTACGCTAGAAGTCAGGTCCCGGGTTCGACTCCTGACGGAGGCATTGAAAAAATAATGACCTCTGTAACATATACATAACAAGTACATGTATCACTCCAACAAAGTATAAAAAGTCGGTCCCATAGAACTTAAGTTACATGAATCATCGTAATCACTTCATCTATGACGACTATTCTGTATCCAAAACAGTTGGTAATTTGATGGAAAGTACTACCTATATGAAACACTTCTTCCAGAAGGTTTCCTTACAATTTATCACATGCTTTTAGATTCTTTGTCCGAGAATTGGAAATAACAAAGCACAAAAAAAGGCAATGATTATGTTTTTTGTGAACAGTTATATGTTGTTTGAGAGTGAACTATTACTTATGTAAACATACAGATATTTTGTAAAAACATATTTAATTTCTGAACTAATATGAGTATCAGAGATATCATAAGTAGTATGACTATAAACGACCACTAGAAATACAGGGCACAGAAGCATATATTCATAATGTAGTTTGTCAAAGGTTCAAGGACAGAAAATTTGCGTGAAGTTGTTCCAAAGATTATTTAGAAATAATCAAAGAGGGAAAATCCTTTAAACTTGAATTGCGTTGCACATTTTCAACTTTTAGCTACCCCTCAGGGTTGTTAATATTTCGTAAACTGCAGCAACAATGTTATGGCCACCCATTGTGGACCCTTTTTAGAATTCAGGACTTATTTTTATTTTCTTTGATTAGAAACTCCAGAAAAGAACTCAGAGCCCTCTTCCAATCTCTTATCATTGCACTTTAAAAACCAACAACAAAGCAACGAGAATATATAAGTGGCAACAGAACCTTAATTTGAAATCAAAATCGATAAAGCTTATAGAAATATATGGAACCTTTTGGTTGGGGCCAATCTTTATCATTCACCATTTCTTCCGTTCTTCTATAATTTTCATGGGATCTATCTTGATATTTTTCTCATTGATATGTAACATATTACACAAACGTAACTACCTGAACCACCAATATAAATAAATGGTAAGGAATCGCCCATAGTATACATACCGCTGTGCTCCTCCCGTACCCGCGTAGATGTAGGTTATTTGTAGCTGACCCTTACTGTTATATGAGAAATCTGCTGTGTCCTGGGTTCCTATTGGAAAGTACGTCACATCCTTATCGTTCTGATGGACGTCACATAGCTAAATAAAAAATCAGATATTATACACAAATGTAATTCTTATTATTTGTTTACGTAAATTAATTTTCGTTATTACCTTGATTGTATCACTTATTTGCGAATATTCAAGGATCCCCGTTCTACTGCCAAAATTGTATCTAAGCATTGACAAATATTTGTTTTGCATGACTAAAGATGTGAAAAATCATTTCTGAAAATAAATATCATACCGTGAAGTAAAAAATAATTAAAATAAAATAAAAGCAAATCAACAACAGTGTTCTGGGAGTAAACATTTCGTAAGGTCTATCGGCATGCAATCTCTACACTTTAATGTATTAAACACTAACCGACTAAGCTATCTGGTATACTGGAGTGGCAGGGTCCAACCGTGCTACACTGTTATCCAAAACGAAAATAAGGGGAGATAACTGTATGTACAAAAATACAGTGCAGTGGGATATGAAGCCTTAAAGCAAAACAACGTGAAATATATCATATAAAATGTTTCGCAAAATATCGGTAATTTACATATATCGGATTAGCAATCTTATTAATTCGTTATGACAGTTGATTGATACATGTGTGGCATAGATGATAACAGACATCATATACATGAGAAATATCAATTAACGTGTATATCACGATCATGAATGATTTTTTCGGCCCATTGTCAATTAAGTATTTTAGGACCGAACGAAACTCAAATATGACTTTCAAAAAGAATACATAAACTTCAAATAAAAAGATGAAATGTATGAAAGAGAAAACAAAACCATAAATAGCACTCATCACATGGTATATCCGATCATGAAATCATCTGAATGTAAATGGTGTATCATAAACATGACAATAAGATTGAATTTCTTATAATTGAATGCAAGCATGTGTAATGAAGGTGTGACAGCTACCTTCCGCTGTGCGGACTTCTAAACTTATTGCACATGGACCCATCTTAGGTTTAATTGAGGTGGATTCTAAAGTAACAAGTACGAAAGGCCAAATCAAATAAAAGTGTTTCGAGTAAATTTTCATTGAAATTCTTTTCTTTTCTTTTCACGAATGTGTATAACAATATAAAGTTATGCAAAATCACACAAAAACGCTCGAAACATCAAGAATTAAGTCACAGTTATATTGGAAAAAGAGTAAATATACGTTTTAACCGAAAAATTTACATAAACATACCGCAACATCGGAGCACCCATTTCCCTCGTTAAACGCCGTACAGGGATTCCATGAAAATTGGTCGCTTCCGATATCAGGAGATACGTCTGGAAATCTGATTTAGAACGAGAACGACATTTTTGTTTGTTCTAAATCATCCCGTATTTTGTTTATTTCTGTTTTACATTTCGTAATCCCGGTTTCATGTTTCGCAGGAGCAATATATCTCGATGACATACCACTCACAGTTTATTTATCGTTGATAAAGCTGTTGATTGATCGACTAACTAATTGGATGATGTGGTAGACTGATATTCAATACTTGGCATACATTTAGTACTCAGGACATGAATGGAATTGACTCTTCTGCAATTCAACATTTGGACGGTAAACGCACAGGGTATGTATCCGAAAGCATAGAAGCTTTTCAACGGATGAATAATATTTAATGTTAGTGTCCAATAATGTTTTCTTCTCTGATGATGAATTGAATCTTTGCTAACATGTCATACATTTTCACATCTTTCATTATACTACCGCACGATCGTATGCTCTCTTTAACATTCAACATGACTGACTTCATCGTATAACATGAAGTCTTATCTTTCTTGACAACATGACAACAGGGTAGTCGGGCAAAATACTAGGTAGACGAGTACTTAGCTATGTCATCAATGACTTTAAGGAATCTAAAGTCACATTTAGTTTTCACGTGGGATGGAGAAAAATCAATAACAAATCAGAAAACCGTAACAGTTTAAAATCAATAAGCACTGTCACTTGATGTACTTGATACATTAATACCTTTCCCTTGGATTACAGAGATAGTGTAGTATTGTCGTTGATAGTACAACCCCTGGCGGCTCAAGTACTATACCATTCAGGCTAACTACGTATACTATAACAAAGCTACTTCGATATGGATGTTTCATCCAGCTAATCTTTAGAGTCAGAAAAATATCAATAAAACAAATTATATTGTATTTTGTTGCAGCTACTTTGCAATGATATTTACGTGAGTTCAATGTTTTCACATAATACATTAAAATGCAATAGTGATATATATATCATCTCTGTCAAAAACAAAATAACCGAGTCCGCCAGGTTTTGCACATTGTTTCAAAAGATAATTGTGTTCGAAAGATTTTGCACATTGCATGCAAAAAAATAAATAATTATATATCACTAAAAATGACAAGGGTGTTATCACTTTCAGGAAATGAAATCCTCGCGTTAAGAATATATGATATTTTATAAAGATTCGAAAAAGTTGTTATCCTTGATTGAAACGATTGTACTTGAAACCTGACGGGAGGTTTTACTTACTGTGGGTTTTGAGGGTCGTTACTATCGAGTTGTGACAAGTCCACACCTGATCCGTCCGGGAATTGGCATGCACATGCTGATGTCTTCGTACATGTTTGTTGTTCGGATGTCACGTGATTTCCTAGGCTAACTAAGACCAAAACATGCATAATGACTCGTACCACCCTCATCGTGTTTATGTATATATGTATATATCTTAAGACATGAAGGATGGGACAACCTATGTCGTTCGCAATTATGATAGGCAAATATGTACAGAGAGTAGAGATAACGAGACCTTTTTCAATCACGCGGGTACACACTCGGGATCAGTATATATACACACATGTGGTTAAACAAATGCGCTAGAAATGATAAAACTTCTGGACCAGTCACGTGTTGCACATATTCTGTAATAGAGCACTATTAGTGGTAGCCTTGCTAAAGCCCGATATTAAAAAATAGGTTGGGTGCTGGGGACAAATGATTTAACGTTAGATGACGGATATACTGCATGTAGTCAATACAAAGGAAGTGATAACGGTAACGATATTGACACGGGAATCAGACTTAAGCATAATCCAAAAAGCAACAATTCTGAAACCAAAACGCGCTTTCTAACTTTTCGTCTGAATATGATTCTCTTTAGTTTGTTGTTTTGCCCTCTGGGTATTGACGATGGATTGCAATCAAATAACCCACTAGTTTTAGTTACATTTTTCGTTGTGGCATATTTTCTCAGTTTTCTTGTTATTGTTGACTCATGTTTCTCACTTTTTTGTCCTAAATTCTTGATTAGGTTTAAAAGGATGTATCTCCGTGTGTAAAATGTATGCATGCATATTGTATGGGTGCTGGAATTGCTTCAGTGGGGTACAGCGGATCTGATGCACTGTATCACTGAAATACTATACCGGAGCACAGCATATTCTGCCCGGTAGCATTATACTGTCAACGGGTGAACCAGTTTTTGCTCCTATTTTCGTTACTGCCTACCCCAGTTAAGCAGTAAAACAAGGAATGTGCATGTATTTAACACTGTATTTTAGGGGTTCTGAACCCAGTTCGCGAGCTTTCCTTAGCTGCGTAATTCCTCAACTTAGCTTCTTTCATAGTGAAGCTTTCTTGACGTAACAAAATTTCCCTTAAATTAATTTTATTTTCATAAATCAAACAATAATATACAAAGAAAACCTTTAAGTTAAGGAACGGTGTTAAAAACAGGATCTGAAAGTATATTATATGTGAAAATCATGTTCCACAAGCTATGATGCACAAAAAGTAGCGGATCATGTAAACATGGGTTTTGCAGTAAAATAGTAAACGGTGTTAAGAGCAGGATGGGGACAAAAGTATTACACCTAATTCTGGCATACAGAAATATTACACACCAGTTACGGTTTATTTTGTGCCATTATGGAATCGAAAATGAACATCAATACAATATATAAAAAAAATGTGTTTAATGCCTATACAATATACATAAAGGGTTAAAAATAATTTAAGTCTTATTATTAAAATAATCCGTCTGTTTTTAATTAGAAATTTCACCGTCGGATTATACTGAAAGTTTTATGCTATCATGAAAAATTGTTTAATGGCGAAGACATGTTACATTACTTGCTGAAAATTGATTAAAAGGAGCTTTTAAATAGTCTTAAAATAATTGATGCCATAAGTTTTTATGTAAATGTTTTTTTCTGGTTTACTATGTGAAATGCATGTGTATCGTTCAACGGGGGATAACTCGTACGTGGTGTTAATATTTCAAGTTTCGATTGCGTTTGTATCAACTTGGATATCAAAATAACATGTGACATCGTTAATTTCGGGTACGGCTGTACTTCGTTTTGTATTTCTAGACTTGCATTTTGCAGGGACTGTATTGTGAACCAATCCAAAATTAGGTAACGCATTCAGTTTTAACCAAAAAGGATCTTAACCGGCGCTGCCGATAACTCGGCTCTTGGTTTTATTTGTTTTAACAGCTCAAGTTGTCTAACGACGTGCTTTCATGTGTGTTATGAAGCCGTGCATGTATGCTGGAAGCATGGCATGTTGATATACACTATGTATGTCTCCTTGCGATAGCACTGATATGATGCCGATTATTGCCACTGTTGCCTCACTTAGATATCATACAAAAGGTACCCAGTACAGTACAACATTCTACCTGATCGTATTATACTGACAACGAGATATCAATTTGTTGCGTTTATCTCAAATGCTTAAAGTTAAAAATCAAATGTAGTGTGCCCTGGCCTAGCGATAAAACCTATCCAACTTGGGCGAATGTTTAACACGAAGGTCAAAGGTGGGATGTCACCAAGCAAGGTACTAGGAAAAATTTACCAGGAAGCAAACTGAAAATCAAAAGATCCAAAGTGTTGCCGTGGGGAAAGCAGATCACTTCTGGTTTCTCCAATGTCCCTTTAGCAGAACAAACAGAAGAACACCCTCGATAATGCAGTTGGATCCACATAATTAGCTTTTTGCGACATGCAGTGAGATACAGAAAGCAGCTATTCTTTCCCCGAACCTGCAGGAGATTTGGTCCCCACTCCCTGGCTATACATGTTGTTTTCTTTGTGTCATATGATGATGGGTGCTTAGGGGGACATCGCAGAAAAGAACGGATAGAGAAGCGAGAAAGGAAAGATACTGATACCAAGTGTTGGAATGGTGGCAGTAGATTAGTTCGGGTTCCTTCAATGTATCTAAAGCAGAAGACAGAATAAAACCCCTGACTCTGGGGTCCCATATTAGTAGCCTCTTACGACATGCAGTTTGATAAAGCAGGCCTATTCCTTCATCGAACCCGCACTGGTATGATTCTTTGAAGGGGATGTTTTGATATATCAATAAGGGTTGTTGTCACTAAAAAGAAGGAAATTAAAAGTCCCTGTCTTCTGTTTTGGCGTGTTTTCGGACCATCGAAATGCTATAAAATATTATAAAATAATTGAAAAGGTTTAAATATATATTTATTCGGAGTAGACAAACTAAAAACAAGTTTCGCGTGTTTTGAATAAATGTTCAAAAATATGGTTTAGGACTTTTAGTTTTGACCTTATCACAGGATTCTATTGCGTCTAAATCACTGACTTGTAACTGTTTCCCTCAAACCTTTATACAAACGAGGACGCTATAATGCGTATCGTTTCAATTGTTGGTGTTGGGTTAACTATTTTTCACTCTGGAATGTTTAAGGAAATTTCAGTTAATAAAAGTAACTTCTTAGAAAAAAGTATTGAAATGAAGAGGTAAATATGAACATGTGTAATGTAGTCGGTTGTAAAAGCCTTCCATAGGCTTGTGTTGCCTTGTTTAACCATGTACCGACTTCTAAATACAATTTACTTGAACTTGATAGTTTAAGATGTCTGTATTGATCGAATCAGTCTGTGTATGACATTTCAACTTAAGGAGAGGAACGTGCATCATAATGAAAGTGAAGTCTGAATCTGATCTATAGTCTGTTCTGAGAAAAAAATATTCAAAAATTATTATCCTACTACTTCATGTACAATTTTGCAACAGAGAGGATAATACAATTAAAAATAAATTTGTCATAAACACAATGATTTTTTCGGCAGAGCCATGTTAGATCGTTTAAGGGTTCCCCTCTTTATCCAGTCATTTAACTGCTTGGCAGTTATACAGTCCTCTATGTCTGCTTTTAGTAGGTTAGTAGGTTAATTCACCAGTGTATAAACAATGTACGAAGTGCTGACTTTTAGATACGGAATGTTATTTAAATACAATCCGCTGTGGTATGTTTACCTCAATAGCTTGCTATTATCCACAACAATATAAAGAATGATTTTTCGATTCATAATTTGTGTGTAAGAAGTCTTTCATTCATATAGTCCATTCAATTCATATATTTACGTTCCGATGAACTAAAATTTAAAAAAAAATTTACCACACTTTTTGTAAATTTGAAATTGATAATATAAGTATCGAACAGAAAACCATAACAAAGGGAACAGCCGAAACTCCAGCCTACACACAAACTTAAAATGTTCGACTTCCGTTTCCTTTGCCGATCAGCTGATTTTGTTAAAAAGAAAAATATATCTAGAATCTAATAATAATCAATACTTAATATTCCTTTCATTTTTGACATTTGATCTTATTAGATATTTTTGTTTTGTATTATGAACACTGCAATTTTTTTTTTTAATTCACCATCGTAACCATCCAGGTCACTCGTCGGCAGAGCACCCGTCGGCAGTAGGCATAGATCTAGAGCTCATTTGAAGTTAAATGTACAGCCGTTGAATGTGCTGTTCACCAAAAAAACCTGCAGATGTAAATGATGATAGGCTGGTGGATGAAGTGCCCTGTATCATTACAAATTTCTGTGAGTTTAATGTGCAAGTTGATGACACGGGGATTACCCAAGCGGGTTGGTTATTAAAAAGTTTGTGACCACGAGGAACCGATTGCGAGTCGGAAGTCAGTATTTAATATGACAATGTTATAAGTATTGTTTTAAATTTCAAATTAGAAAGAATAATAATAATAGTACAATGATTTTTGTAATGTTTATTATTTCTCTGGCAACTAAATTATCTCGGGGAAGGGGAAATAACTCTTCTCAGAAACAGTACTATGTGTAGTAATATGAAGTGGTCATTGTGTGTGAAACCAGCTGACTGGTTGCACGAGAATCGTTGTGTGCATAGTGTATTCATAGTTTAATGGCAGTTATTTTCAGTTGGTAGATTCATGTACAGAACAAACATCAAGAATGTAAATATACATGAATAGCCGCATGAAGCTATAGTAAAATGTACTACAGTACATTATGCTTGCATTATAACGTGTCAGTGCCTTAAACAAATCCCTGACCACTTACAATGTATTTTTTTGGTAGACACGTTAAGGGTCATTTTGGGCTACATCCACGTCATTTTATTCAGGCATTAATATGAAGAATAATGCATTTGTTTGAAACCGCAGCTAATCTGTTTTACTGACAAATAAGTTCTACCGACCCTTAGGATTTTCTAATATTGTATTTCAGGAAATTTTCGCTGCAGTTTATTTTCGCTCTCAAAAATAAGGACGAGTTTACAGCGAATATTCAGTAAACAACGATATATATGTTTTTATTATGAGCACATGGGACCCGTGTAGGGCGAGGGGGGCGGGGCCATGCGTGGTCGACAGGTGTATCGGAATAGGGGTAGAACTTCTCGTATGCATGTAGTTGCACGTGCTAGTGGTGCGATACGGATGCGAAGAGGTTAATGGGTCCGGGTACTCAGCATTCGAGCTATTCTATGTAGTTCTATTCGACAACACGCATTTATCCCCCCCNGCCCAGTTGGGTTTTATGTTATTTTCAGATCCCATTCATGGAGGGACAATGCTGATGGATACCCATCAATTTACAAGGGATAAGGCACGTTTCGAGAAACCACGGAGAGAATTGAGGCGAGGCTGGAAAGTGTTCGTTTTCACAGAAAGGACTTGGAAGATATGTCAATTTCTTTGTATTACATATGCATATACTAGAATACATGCTGTTGCTCACTACAGAGGCTTCCTCCCATACACGCGTTGGTGTTTTCATGATAAATGATTTATGTTCGTTTGTAGTAATAAATAGGAAGGGTGCATTTTAAACTGGGTGAATATCGATTTTACCGGCGAAGGGCGACAGTTTGATGTTGCAAAAATATATCGGTCTACAGTAATGTGTAGTCTTCAGATACAAACGTGTTTCTGATTTATTAACGTCAACATTACAACTCTGCTGTCTTATTTAAGTTTTGTTTTATCTGGGTATATTCCGGAACGTTCATTCGTTTATAATAATACGCATGCCCTCAAGGCGGAAGTTGAAACAGTGCGTCATAGTTAAAAATGTAAACAAAACAAAAATATAAGCTGGCGTACACGTTGCATGCAGTTATTCTGATATATCCACCTGACATGGATTTGTCGACTCTTCTTCTAGACATGAGTGATGATGTGTTAATTCAGCCACCCTCAGACAGCCGGAAAAGTGTTGTTATTGACCTGGGGACCAGATATACTAGAGTAGGATTTGCAGGCGAGCAGAGTCCATGTGATGTGTTCCCCACAGCCGAGGCACAGTGGCATTCCCAACAGGTAATACATACTTTAATGTTTGCATTCCATTTACATGTAACTTTTGTTTCAATGCATATACATTGTAATAGTTACAGGTAACTAATACGAGAGCCGGCTGGTTATTTAGATTGCAAGAGCTGTGTATTAGGCTTGCACCAGTGATGCACGTGCACTGTATCATTGTATATGTCATGTACCAGTGGCTAACTGCGACATATACTGATTACACCTATCATAATTTCCTTCATCGAAGATATGCGATTTAAAATTATACATGGACTTAAGCAAGTCTAATCTTGCAGCTTGGCCTTGTACTGAGATACAGAGGTGTATCGCTGGCGGTTGCGGTTGATATTTGGAGATTGAGCAAATGAATATATATGATATGTATACTTCAAGCAGATGTTGGGAGTTGTAAAAGCTTAACTCCTCTAGATTCGGTACCCGCAGTGAACTAGAAAGTTAATTTACAATTCCGCACAAACTTTATTTGACCTACATAATACATAAGGACTGTCTGGCCTCCTTTGTGTACACACGTATGGGTATATGGTATAACATTTAAAAGGTAGCGCACATATGTGTCCCGTCTAACAGGACCATATAAGGAGTAGAATCTAATAGGGGTCTTGCTAACACTTGATAGAAGCTATATGATAAAACCTTGGCGATGTCAAAGTCTGATATATACATATCGTTGAATATACATGTAGCGTACACGGGAACTCCTTTCAGGACATATATTTTTGTGTGCATTTCTTAACATCAACATACTTACAATGACATGTGAATCACAGTTAAATATAAATCACATTATGCAATACAGATGGTTCGATCGGCACAGTACCCTAGTCAGATTGTTGTGTTACCATGGAAAAGTAAGGATGGTCTTGTCTTTCCCTCCAATGAAACATATCTATAAATAGAATGTGATCAACAACTTTTGAGTTCATAACATTTATAACAGTTTATGTCTTAATCAAAACAGTTAGTTTGTTATCGGTATATAAAGTCAGTACACTACAAATTGGCTATCTGAAATATCGTTGGTCAATTAGCTTTAGGTTGATTAATATATCAAACGACATCTGGATAACTGCTCCATTGTTGTTAAACATAATAAAACTGATGGGCTACCATGGCCACCACACGTGTATATGAATGAATTGTCTATAAATGTTAAATCTGAATTGATTAACTATATAATGTTCCATGCATTTAAACTTAATTGTTCAATTATTGTTAAAACTGGTAAATGTAATTTGATGCATGTTACATGTTAGTAACATTAACTTGTTGCATGTTACATGCAACATGTTATGTATTCTTTTCTCAACGGCCCGTCAACACAGGAGAGGCCATGATCATGTAAAACATGCTCAAGGAAATAACATGAAATAAATGTTAAAGACAAACGGCCTTTTGTCTTAAGTTCTAGACTGTTTAATGCTCAAGACTGAAACATAAACTTGGAGGTGCCAGCCCATGCCGTCTGGTATAAACTTGGAGGTGTCGGCCCATGCCGTCTGGTATAAAATTCGAGGTGTCAGCCCATGCCGTCTGGTATAAATTTGGAGGTGTCGGCCCATGCCGTCTGGTATAAACTGTGGGGTGTCGGCCCATGCCGTCTAGTATAAAATTCGAGGTGTCACCCCCTGCCGTCTGGTATAAACTTGGCGGTGTCGGCCCATGCCGTCTAGTATAAACTTGGAGGTGTCGGTCCATGCCGTCTGGTATAAATTGGAGGGGTCAGCCCATGCCGGCTGGTATAAACTTGGAGGTGTCGGCTCATGCCGTCTGGTATAAATTGGAGGGGTCAGCCCATGCCGGCTGGTATAAACTTGGAGGTTTCGGCCCATGCCGTCTGGTATAACTTGGAGGTGTCAGCCCATGCCGTCTGGTATAAACTTGGAGGTTTCGGCCCATGCCGTCTGGTATATATTTAAATGTGCTGTAATTATTGTTAATGTTTTACATTGCCGTTTCTAGCCGATTAAGTCCAGATTGCGTCCAGATCTTGCCGAATGCGTCGGTTCACTGTCCGGTCACTGTCTGATCTCTGTCGGATCGCGTTCGGGAGAATCGGGACGCTGTCGGGACAGATTCGGTCGTTTTTTAACCATGCGGAAGATACAAATCGGATCAGATTCAGATTGAGAACGGGAGAATCGGGACGAATTCGGCTGGAAACGGCTGAATCGGGACGCTTCCTGAACAATATCTGATTGTTGTCGTGATTGAATAAATGTTTACGAATCACAGGATCTTGATCAGACTTTGACAAATTTAAATCGGGAGTGGTCCTTTCAAGGTCGGCAGTAAAACTCCTGAATGTGTCACTGAGAGGCTTAAGCAGTTGATTTTTTTACGTGATTAAATTATTAAATGATGTTTAAGGAAATTGAATGTATGCAACAAAAATCATGATAGCTCATTGGCCCAGCCTTTGACCAAAACTATTTTTATTATCATTTCGCCACTTTTCACTGGTAGTATGTGTGACTGTATAAATTGTCTCAAAGATGACATAACAATCATAATACGCTTCGATAAATATTGCAAAGATTATTGGGGAAATAATCTTTTAATTTCATAAAAAACCACTTACCTTGTTCAACAATAATCTGTTTGATATCAACGTTATTTGTTGTCGATTCGATTGTACTTAAATTACCTTGAATATCTAAAGCAACATTTGTTAAATCAAATACATTGCCTAAATGCATATCTCGTATCGGACTGTACCAACAGTTATCTTTGTCACATTCATTTTTTAAACACTACTCTGTTATTGCGTAATATGTGCATTGTAATTTTTACAAAGATCTCTAATGTATTGTACACAGAAGTGCCATCGCGCATGGAACCATTGTATGAACACACACCTACATGTAACTCAAGAAGGCTGCCAACATTTACTGCATAAAGTATTCACTAACACAGTTGTGACGTAACAATGGCTATTGAGTGAGGATAGTCGGTACGTCCAGTGACACATCTCTATTCATAGATTTAAGTTCATAGCTTTAGCGTCCTATAAACAGCTAAGGTCATTAAGGACACGTGTCCGTGTATGTACTGAAAGCGGTTTAAATTCATTCAGAAGTAATTGCGAAATACTTGCCTTACTCATGATCACCTGGTCTGTTATGAATCCAATATAAAGGAAATTATATAGCAAAAAATAAAATAATAATAAAAATCGGTGTCTAAATTTCTGTTTTAGAAATTAAATCTATTAAGTTTCACCTGAAAAATTCTTTTCAAAACCTAATGTAGATGTTCTACTATTATTTGTTCTTATTGGAAAGCTAGGATGTTCAAGTTTTTCATTATATTAAATCAAATTTAGTAAGAAAAATACGGTTCGTATGTTAACGTTATAGCCCCAAATATGGCAACTGTTTCCAGCTACAAAGGCGAAGAAAATGTATGCCTTATTTCCGTAACCTACAGTATGACGTTTGAATAAAACCCTTTGAGAAATAAAAAAGTTATGTCTATCTTAGCCAGGAGTTGTTTTGTTTTGCATAAGTTACAACTTCACAATCAAAGATGTATGTATTCGTACACGCTATTACAATAAGAGACTTTCGAAGGAGCCAACTACGTTCCTATGGACCCTGACTACCAGTATAGCCTGGATACCGAATGTGAGTGTGGGACCCTGACTACCAGTATAGCCTGGATACCGAATGTGAGTGTGGGACCCTGACTACCAGTATAGCCTGGATACCGCATGTGTGTGTGGGACCCTGACTACCAGTATAGGCTGGATACCGTATGTGTGTGTGGGACCCTGAATACCAGTATAGCCTGGATACCGTGTGTGTGTGTGGGACCCTGACTACCAGTATAGCCTGAATACCGTATGTGTGTGTGGGACCCTGACTACCCGTATAGCCTGGATACCGTATGTGTGTGTGGGCCCCTGACTACCAGTATAGCCTGGATACCGTATGTGTTTGTGGGACCCTGACTACCAGTATAGCCTGGATACCGAATGTGTGTGTGGGACCCTGACTACCAGTATAGCCTGAATACCGTATGTGTGTGTGGGACCCTGACTACCCGTATAGCCTGGATACCGTATGTGTGTGTGGGACCCTGACTTCCAGTATAGCCTGGATACCGTATGTGTGTGTGTGACCCTGACTACCAGAATAGCCTGGATACCGTATGTGTGTTTGGGACCCTGACTACCAGTATAGCCTGGATACCGTAGGTGTGTGTGGGACCCTGACTACCAGTATAGCCTGGATACCGCATGTGTGTGTGGGACCCTGACTACCAGTATAGGCTGGATACCGTATGTGTGTGTGGGACCCTGACTACCCGTATAGCCTGGATACCGTATGTGTGTGTGGGCCCCTGACTACCAGTATAGCCTGGATACCGTAAGTGTGTGTGGGACCCTGACTTCCAGTATAGCCTGGATACCGTATGTGTGTGTGTGACCCTGACTACCAGAATAGCCTGGATACCGTATGTGTGTTTGGGACCCTGACTACCAGTATAGCCTGGATACCGAATGTGAGTGTGGGACCCTGACTACCAGTATAGCCTGGATCCCGTATGTGTGTTTGGGACCCTGACTACCAGTATAGCCTGGATACCGTAAGTGTGTGTGTGGGACCCTGACTACCAGTATAGGCTGGATACCGTATGTGTGTGTGGGACCCTGACTACCAGTATTGCCTGGATTCCGTATGTGTGTGTGGGACCCTGACTACCAGTATAGCCTGGATACCGTATGTGTGTGTGACCGTGAGTGCTTGGGTGTGTTTAGGAGATGTGTCGTTGTTATCTTCCATGATGAATTTCTGTTTCCATCGGAATAGTTTTTGCCCACACTGTCACTTGTATGATAGCCATCACAAACTATTTTATAATCCGTCTGCTTTAAAGATCGGAGTGTACACCTCGCAGCCGAATCCATTTATAATTAGTCAATACACGCTCGAGTTTTACAAATAGTTTAGTTCAATAAGAATACGTGTATATTGTAAACGGCATTAATTCCGTCTCCCTCAAATTTATTGACGCTGTATTTACTCGGAGTTGAATTCTCCCTAAAGTTTATTTATTTGGTAATTCTATCTGTATAATGGTTTTCGCCTCGTGTTTACTTTTATTTGACCTATCGTAACCTGTGCTGGTTTGCAAAACAGGCAAGGCATATCTCACTACATGTCGCAACGACCCAATGCATGCAGATTTTAAGATGACCACGCTGCAGAATCGGGGATCTCTTCGGCGTCTTCTGTATTGAGGTGACCTCTAACCCCAATCAAAATTGCCAAATCTATAAATAAGAACTTCATTGATTGTACAACAACTATGAAACAGGTTTTACAAATTATGTTAATCAAACTGGTTGGCCTGGATGTAAGCGCGCGGGGGTATTAATGTGAGAGGATACCGGAGTGCCAGGAAAACCCCCACGTGGCGGGGCAGGTGACCCCATACCTTTTTACGTCCGATATGGAAATCGAATTCCGGTCGCCTTGGTGAACGGCGATAACAACACATCATGTAAGGGTTAAAAAACGAAAAAGTAAATGGAACGGAGCGCTATGGATATTTTCCCATTTTATTTAGAATTTACTCAAGGTTGGTTTGATTGTATTTGGTCTAGTGTCCTGTTGCCAAAGTGTGTGTAATGTATGTGTTTGTATCCTGGAGGCGGAATACTGGAATGACAGGCTATTCAGAATTATGGTACGGTTTCAAAATGATAAAATGCAAATCAATATTCCATGCACTTTATCTATACAAACATTGGAAACCCGCGATTAAATTGTTCGGGGTGGCATATCTGTTATTGTATATCCGCAAAGGAATGCTGTTTTATTCTACATTTTAACACATACTTTTTGATCTGTTCATGTCTATTCAATATAAAACTTAATAAGTCGAACGAATTACAGTAGCATTTGATGTGTTTAACTGTTTGTTAGGTTTGTTTGGGGTCTAAATCCTCGGAAAAGCCAAGGTTAAATATAGACGGTGTTCACACTTCAAAACACATGTACATGTTGTCGATTTGATATAGCTATTAGTGACTGAATCCTCATAGTCCCTTTCTAATACAGCAATATTAACAGTATTAATAGCCTTACTTGGAACAATAGTATATAAATAGGGCAACATCATCATTTTAATACGTCATTACGTAAGGATTATTTTCCTACATCTATTGTACTAATTGTACATGATCATTATAATATTATATATATACCTTGCAGTTGAATAATGAAAATATGTGAATCATAAAGGCTGCCTTTTACTGGGGAAGGGCACTGGCAATACATCTACCCTCTGTTAGTTTATTTTCAGGATTGATTTACCGGATTTAATATCATGCTGACTGATCGGTTAATGACATACATGCAATATGTGTGTAAGCAATGCTTATATGCAGTAGGCGGCAGTTAATTAGTTTATTTGACTCTTTGCGATAGCGCGGGTCTGATGCCTACTATAGAGTGCTACCTTAGAGAAAAATCATGCCGAAGGCACCAGGCATAATTACACACACGGTCACATTAAACTGACTTACAAAATATCCATAAGACTACACATGTATATGTTGTACAGCCTATCAGTCTTAAGTTAGAGGTCAGAAAGAACGCGCAGGGATCGTTTTGGAGGGTGCATCTGACAAATGGTTTATCAAAATTCCAAATAAAGCATCATTGATTTTGCGATCGACCATGTATTCACTTGATTGTCGGACCCACAATGATCCCTGGGTACCTACTGACAATATCATACTGATAAAATACATTTAGTACAGTTAACGATAACTTTATATGCATATACACTGACAATCATCGACTATTATGAGTTCGTGATTACCAGAACCACTTCTGGCTGTTCGCCTTTCTATTGTACACTGTTTCACGCAATTTGAAAGCATCTTTTACATTTATGTTGTTACATGATAATTTCTCATTTATAATTTTACAAAATAGTTTTTTAATTAACATTTGAAACCCTTGCACGTTCGGGAAATCATACGTCTATGATATCCCACTGCATGAGGCGACAAAGGTGGACCCCTTGTAGACTCGGGGGGTTTTCGGCAGTGTCTTTCTAAGTATCCGTCTTCATATTCACTGGTCATTATTTAGCTTTGTAGATGATAATGGTAACACTAACCATTTATTTCATATATATTCCAGGGTCAAGACGAATACGCATCTACTTATCCAGACGCAACGGAAACTGTTTTGAATTATATATTCAAGAACAAATTAGGCATCGACTCCAAGGATCACTCAGTGTTGATAGGACGGTCTCTCCCATACGTACATCAGAACCAAGAGAAACTGATTGAAATTT